GGACGACAGAAGATGAGATGGCTGGATGGCGTCACCGACTAGAAGGACATGAGTTTGAGTAAGCTCCGGGAGTTGGTGATAGACAAGGAGGCTTGGCGTGCTGCGATTCATGGGGTCGCAAAGAGTCAGACACGACGGAGTGACTGAACTGAACTGAACCAAAGAAAAATGATCTTAGAAAAAGATCATTTTAAATGCTCTTCACATAAGGATAAATTAGTACAAACACTTAATAATAAATCTAATATAAGAGGTGATGCTAACGGTAAAGAACCCTGCCTACCAATGCAGGAGACATAAGAGACACAGGTTCAATTCCTGGGTCAGGAAGATCCCCTGAAGGAGGAAATGCAACCCACTGCAGTATTCTTGTCTGGAGAATCCCATGGACAGAGGAGCCTGGCGGGTTACAGTCCATAAGATTGCAAAGAGTAGGACATGACTGAAGCGACTGGGCACACACACATGCACAATATAAGATATATATTATCTTTCAAATGTTGACCTGAAATAAATGATCTGACAAGTATTTTTCCAGCCAAAATGAGTCTGTTCAGAATCAGCAGAAAATTGTGATTCAGGGTCTTCAACCATGGTGAGCCATGTGCACGTTTCCATATGGCAAGGGAAAAAAAATGCTTTTATAAGAAAGAAAAAGGAAAATGGGAAATCTATTGGAAACAAAGAGTCCATGACTTTTCATTAGCTCAATCCTTGTCAGGAAAGAAGAGTAGTTTTTCTTCTTCTTCTTGGGCTCGCCTATCATTGCAAGGCACGAGAGCTCCCTACTCTGGTCTCCCAGCTCTGTTTAACTGAGTTTTCTGTAGTAAATTTTTTACATAGCAGAAAACTATAAAACAGCACTGAGAAAAAATAAAAACTTTAATTAATTGAGGTCTATATTCTTGGATTCAAATTTCAATTCTTCCAAAATTGGTTTATAGATTTAATACATTTCAATAAAAGTCCCCATATATATCTTGAGTAAATTGATCCTGTTTCTAAAATCTATAAACAAATTCAAAGAGGTAGATAACCAAGATATAAGCTAAGAAAAGAATGGATTGCAAGACTGTTTCATGCTAAACACTATGGAAATCATAATAAACCAGAGAATGAAATTTGCCTTAATAGAGCTTAGTATGGAGACTTGAATCCTCTTAAGGTTTAATGTATGATTATAAAACACATAGCTAATGAAAAACTCTGTTCAGTGAGAATCAGGAAGTACCTTATAACAGAAGGGGGTTAGAGTATTATCATGAATTTATTCTCATATGTTCTTTAGAAAAGTGAAAACTACTAGATTTGAAAGGACTGGGAGAGTTACGTGGATAAATGTAATGGCACATTTTTACAAACTTCAGGATTACATGCTTTTGATACAGCTGTGGTTAAGGGCTGTTCATATTAATTTCATCTCTAGGGATCCAGTAGGCTCTGAAACCAATCCCTAAACGTCTATCTCAGGTGAAACCAGGAATATATATAGAGATGGAATAAACATTTAAGCCTCACTATTGATAGAATCAAAGGTTTTCAAGATCTCAGGTATGTGGAGAATCAAAATTATAGCCTCTGGAATCCATTCAAGTTTGATCTTCAGACAGAGATAAAAAGTCTTCTTAGGTGAGAAATAAAGCAAAAATATAAAAGCACAGAAATACAAAGAGAAATGAGAAGAAATATAAAGATAATAGCAAGGCTGAAAAAAAAATAGAGAAAGCAACCAAAATAGAGTGTGACTTTACCTGCAGTGGAGGAAAGTTTAGGAAGAGAAAATCATTATGGAACTGAAACACTGGGAAATGAGTTACTGGTTTTATCATTTGGGATTCATATTGATATAATTGGCTTATTTGTAAATTTCAAATTTTTTAATTACAAATAAATAGTGGGTAGATTTTGGCACAGTTTAAGATAGAAAGATTAAAGAGCAAAAATCATTAAAAGAACAATGTGTAATTTATGAAGAATGAAAACAGGAGTGTCATTGTGTTTACAGGTAAACAATTGAAGTATATGACATATACACTGAAGTATATGACATATCTTAATATCCTACTTCAATATTTATCAACAATTTTAAGATAGGTTGGTCAGTGAATGAGTAATTGAAGACTGTAGGTAAGATGCTAGAGAGGCTATAATAAAATGGTTTTCTTATCCTCCATGGTTCTCCCTTATCTATTTGGAATAGGTAACTGTATTCCATGAGTCTTTTCTGCCCTTTGAAACAATCTTGTCATTGGTCCAGTCTCTTCCTACTATTTATTTTTCACCTTACTATGATTAAATTGCATTAAAATAAACAAAATGCCCCCAAAGAATTATGTTTAATGAGATGTTTTGAATGTCAGAAGAAAATGTACAGAAAAAAAGGTAATAATGAAGGGACTGAGAAAAAGTGAAACACATCATAAGTGAGTCAGTAAGAGAAAAGGGTAAGAAAAATAGAGTGTAAATAGGGATATTCCTGCTTGTCCCAAAATTAAATCTATGGATGGGCCAACCACTGAAGTTTTCCAAAGCTAAAGTTTCCACTGAGAGGATCTAGAGCATGGAGAAAAACATTTTAAAAGAACAATGATTTACCTTACTTTTTGTAACTTCTCTGAGAAAACATGATTTATAGCAAGGTTAGAAGGATAAAAGGAGAATGCATAAAATAATTTTTGGCATGGGGAAAAATAAACCACCTTCTAATATGACCACAATATAATCTTTGTATGTGTGTGTTCTATATTTGTACTTCAATGTTAATATCTAGAGCCTTTTGATAAGTTGAGATTTAAATAGAAATTAAAGCAAAATTTCTGAATAAGGAAGAAGAATAAAGAAATTCAATAAGAGATTTTAGTAGATTTTGCAGATTAAGCAAAAAGTGTTGCTTGAAGGTAAACAAAAATAAATGTGCTGGACAATTATTCTGCCTAGTAAATGCAGAACATGGTGAGTGGCTGACTCCATCTGAGACAAGAGAGCTAGCGAAGGTTCAGTGTAAACTCCTTGTGGCAGGAAAGCAGTAGCAGAGAGATGTCCAACCCTAAGAGGACAGAGATGACTGCATTGGCAGAAAAGGGAGAAAGTGACAAATCTTTCTTATTCCAAGAAGAGAAAGTTTTCTTGGTATTTCCTTCTGTTCCTCATTATAGATGCCAGGCCAAAGTTCTCTTAGGAATTACAGACTGTTGAGCCTGAGAACTTTCAGTTTTTAAGCTGTCAGAGACTGCTGCTGCTGTTGCTAAGTCACTTCAGTCGTGTCTGACTCTGTGCGACCCCATAGATGGCAGCCCACCAGGCTCCCCTGTCCCTGGGATTCTCCAGGCAAGAACACTGGAGTGGGTTGCCATTTCCTTCTCTTATGCATGAAAGTGAAAAGTGAAAGTGAAGTGAAAGTGAAGTTGCTCAGTCATGTCCGACTCAGCGACCCCATGGACTGCAGCCCACCGGGCTCCTCCGTCCATGGGATTTTCCAGGCAAGGGTACTGGAGTGGGGTATCATGTCCTTCTCTATTTTATATATAGTATTGTGTATATGTCAGTTCCAGTCTCCCAATATATCCCTTCCCCTCACTTATCCCGTGGTAACCATGTTTGTTTTCTATATCGTGCCTCTACTTCTGTTTTATAAATAAATTTATTTGTACTTTTTTTCCCCTCAGATTCTACATATAAGAGGTAGGATATTATATTTGTCTTTGTGTCTAATTTACTTCACCAAGTATGATAGTCTCTAGGTCCATCCATGCTGCATTATTTTGTTTTTTTTTAATTTCTGAGTGATATGCCATTGTACATATGTACTACATCTTCATTATCCAGTAATACTTGATAGAATATTTTGTAAAATGTGATTATGTATAAACCTTATTTAGAGAAAAAAAGCCAAGCAAGAAATGATACATAGAAATGAAGAGGGATATATTGCAAATTATTATTAATTAAAGACACATGACATGTACTAGATGTCTGAAGTAAATATATTTTAATATTATCTTGTGGGAAGGCATGTAAGAAGAGCTTCAAAAATTATACTGTTACCTTATTTTATGTATATATGCATATATATTCCCTCTTACATATATATATATAAATATATATGAAAAGAGGGAGTAAAAGAGGGAATGCATGTCTTTTTCCACTCCCTCTTTCCATACAATGTGTGCCTATTTTACTATTAAAATATTACATATTTTCAGTTTAAAGTATTATACATTATTAAATAAATATGAAGTTAAATTAATGGTGAGCCTTTAGGGCCAAATCAGCTGTCAGGAATTAAAAGATAGCCTAGAAACAATAAGCGATTAATTCAAGAACATCACTGACAGGAAGCTTATGAAAATCCATAGATATTTACTCTGAATTTTCTCTATTTTTATTTTATAACATATAGTAAATATTTCTTTCTCTACTCTTTTGCTGTTTAATTTTTTAGTGTCTTCAGTGAAAATCAATCAAAGCTCTTGTCAGAGATGACCAGACTTGTGGGGTACACACTGTTCTAGAATTTGATGCTTGACTACTGGGAAATGTTTCTTACGTAAGAACTGTAAGAGGTAACTTCTTCCTTCCTCTATGAGATTAGAGGAAAGGTGTATCATATACTGATTGTTCTGCTTATGTTCATCAGGGATAACTGAGTAATAAAGCAGGATAACAGAAAATATTCCTGTTTGTCAAGAGTCACCATGGTGGTCTGGAATAACAGTGATACTATGGAACCTATATTTATTCTGAGGGGTTTTCCTGGACTGGAGTATGTTCATTCACATCTCTCCATCCCATTCTGTCTTGCATATTTGTCAGCATTTATTGGTAATGTTACCATCCTCACTGTTATTTGGACAGAGTCCTCACTCCACCAGCCCATGTATTACTTTCTTTCTATGTTGGCACTAACTGACCTAGGTATGTCCTTGTCCACACTGCCCACCATGCTTGCTGTATTATGTTCGGATGTTCGGGAGATCCAGGCAAGTGCTTGCTACGCCCAGCTCTTCTTCATCCACACACTGACATTCCTGGAGTCCTCAGTGCTGCTGGCCATGGCCTTCGACCGCTTTGTTGCTATTTGCCGTCCACTGCACTACACCGCCATCCTCACCAACAGTGTGATAGGCAAGATTGGGCTGGCCTGCTTGCTGAGAAGCATGGGGGTTGTACTACCCACACCTTTGCTGCTGAGATGCCATCACTACTGCCATGTCAATGCCCTCTCCCATGCCTTCTGTTTGCACCAGGATGTTCTGAAGTTATCCTGTTCAGATGCCAGGATCAACAGTGTTTATGGACTGTGTGTAGTTATTGCCACACTGGGTGTGGATTCTGTCTTTATACTTCTTTCTTATGTCCTGATTCTGAAGGCTGTGCTGGGCATTGCCTCTCGTGAGGAGCAGCTAAAGGCACTCAACACATGTGTGTCTCATATCTGTGTGGTGCTCACCTTCTTTGTGCCAGTTATTGGGGTATCAATGGCCCACCGCTTTGGGAAGCATTTGTCTCCCATAGTCCACATCATTATGGCTGACATATACCTGCTTCTTCCCCCAGTGCTTAACCCTCTTGTCTACAGTGTCAGGACAAAGCAGATTCGTCTAGGAATTCTCTGCAAGTTTGGGCTAAGGAGGAGGTTTTAAGTACCTCTAATCTTTGGTTTTCCCACTAAAAATCACAAGGCAGCTTTTTAAGTAGATGAAAAGTACATTATTGAAGCCTGGTCATCTGGTTAAATTCCTAATTCTTTCCCTTCCTATATAAATGATCTCAGATAATCATTAACCCTTAAGAAATCCATATTTTTCATAGCAAAATTGTAAGTATGACCTTTTCTATCCCCAAGATAATTATGAGATATATGATAGAGTATATAAAAAAGGATGTTTTGAAAAAGTGTACTATTTGCTAATATTATTAAATTTCTATTAATGGTTATAATAACTTTCATTATGTAATGTAACTAAGTTCATAAGTTTCTAATGTTTATGATCTATAATTCAGAAATCAATCTCTCTTTCTCCATTTTATTTTGTTTCTCATGCCAAAATGTCACAATATTATAACAGAAATATTTCTGACTTTTGGGGGTAAGTTTGGAACTTGTCTTCCTGGGAGGACTTTGAACTGCTACAGTCACTGTTGGCTATGAAATAAGTCCCCACCTCATCATTGGTTGGCACTAACTGACCTACGTATGTTCCTATCCACACTTTCCATTATGGTTGCTGTGTTATGTTTGGAGATAACATTTGGGAGATCCAGGCAAGTGCTTGCTATGTCCAGTTCTTTTTCATCCATACATTCACATGCCTGGAGGCCTCAGTGTTGCTGACACTGGGAAAAAGATGGGTTCTTTCTCCCACTGGAGGTCTATCTGCTCCTTCAGCTTGCCATCAAATGCTGGGGCAGACACGTGGAGTTGCCCAAGAAATCCTGATAACACATGTCTAAATACCTGGGCAAATGTGTAGGTTTCCTGCTCAGCACTATAGCTCAGAATTTCATGTCTAAATCTGAGTGGATTGGGTTTGTGCATGATAATCACTCTCATTTTTTAATAGTATTCTTTCCTCTTCTTCATCTCTGTGTGGATTGCTAATATCAGTGTCATTCTCAGTTCCCTCATTGGCAATAATTTGCTACTTTTTTTTTTCATTAAGATGACATACATATGGTTTCATCAGTGATATTTTATTATTCATATATATTCAGTTTCTTTTTAGCTGTATTGAAATTTTCTTTATCATGGGGTCATTACTACTATAATAACATGTCACTATGCACATGGTATTCCCCAATCAGCATGAATGTTCATAAAATATTTGTTAGTATAAACACTACTGTCTTTTCATGCTCCCAATAAATATATACTGAGAAACATGAAATGCCTGTCATAGCAATTACTGCTTTCAATACTGTGGATATATAAAAAGTGGAGTTGATGATCTAAATATTAAGAAATTAATGTTTAATAGAAGTGTACATGTAGAAAGCTTGGAAAAATTAATAGAAGTCATTAAATATTGTTATTAAAGAGTGGCCAATTTTACTTGAGGCTTAAGGAATCAGGTATTGTGGTAGCTGACACTCAGCCGTGCCTCATGGGTCAAATGCAGTGCTACCTCCTGAGCAAAGTGTGAAAGAAATCAGTATGCTTAAGCTGGCTTGTTTTGGCTTATGAAAGATAACTGTGCATATCTTATTTCAACTCCAAGTTGTGTAATGTCACACTGGTAGTTTGAAGTTGGTCATGATGGGAGTATTTCCACAACAGAAATTGACAGACACTACACACCAGGGCTTTTCAAAACTTTCCTAGATAATGACAGTCCCTTTGCTGTTCGCCTGAAACTATTACAGCACTGTTGATTGGCTATACTCCAATGCAAAATAAAAAGCTAAAAAGAAGGGGAAAAAAAAAACTATTTCACATACATTACTCCAGAAGAAAAAGGACTTTGTATTTTATTCTTAATGACTGTTTAAGTCATTAAGTGTTTACTAGCACACCACTTGATAAGGTATTCCAAGAAGAAGAGGCAGCATGAAGAAAAAAAAGAGTATGTGTTAGTAATATTCTCCAACTTCCAGGAGAAGTTTAAGACTTGGTGCAGCCACTACAGAGAACAGTATGTAGGTTCCTTGAAAAACTAACAATAGAGCTACCATTTGACCCTTCAATCTCACTCCTGGGCATACATCCAGAGAAAAACATGATCCAAAAGGATACATGCACCCCAGTATTCATTGCAGCACTGCTTACAATATCTAAGACATAGAAACAACCAAAATGTCCATCAACAGAGGATTGGATTAAGAAGATGTGGTATGTACGTGCTTAGTCACTCAGTCATGTCCGACTCTTTGTGACCCCATAGACTGTAGCCCATCAGGCTTCTCTGTCCATGGGGATTCTTCAGGCAAGAATACTGGAGTGGGTTGCCATGCCTTCCTCCAAGGGATCTTCCTGACCCAGGGACTGAACCCAGATCTCCTGCACTGCAGGTGGTTCTTTACCATCTGAGCCATGAGGGAAGCCCAGAAGATGTGGTACACATACATATATACAATGGGATATATTACTCAGTCATTGAAATAAATGAAATAATGACATCTGCAGCAACACGGATGGAGCTTAGCCTCCCTGGTAGCTCAGCTGGTAAAGAATCTGCCAATAATGCAGCAGACCCTGGTTCAATTCCTGGGTCAGGAAGATTCACTGGAGAAGGGATAGACTACCCACTTCAGCATTCTTGGGCTTTCCTGGTGACTCAGCTGGTAAAGAAACCACTTGCAATGCGGGAGACCGCCTGCAATGCAGGATGGACCTAGAGAGTGTCATACTGAGTGAAGTAAGTCAGACAGAGAAGGACATTCCTTATATGGGTAATCTAAAAATATATGATACAAATGAACTTAATATGCTTATTAAAAGTTCATTAAACTGAAACAGAAACAAACTGACAGATTTGGAGAACAAACTTATGGTTGCCAAGGCAGGAGCAGGACGGCGGGAATGATGGGGGAAAGTGACAGAGAGTTTGGGATGGACATGTACACACTGCTATAATTAAAATGGATAATCAATAAGAACCTACTGTATAACACATGGAGCTCTGCTCAATATTATGTGGCAGTCTGGATGGGAGGGAAGTTTGGGGGAGAATGGATACATGTATATGTTTGAGTCCCTTTGCTGCCCACCTGAAACTACTACAGCACTGTTAATTGGCTATACTCCAATGCAAAATAAAAAGCTAAAAAAAAAGAAAAAAGAAAACCTCTCTCACATACCTTCCTCCAGAAGAGAAAGGACTCTATTTTTTTCTTGATAGCTGGACATTATGTACCAGGTAAAAGGTATGGCTTTAAATAGGCCTTTGTTAATGCGTGGTAAGGCATGGGGGAGAGAAAGCATCCTGTAGTCCTGTGATTAGGTCTCAGTCTTTTAGTGAGTCTAAAGAGTTCACAGAGCCCCTGGACTGAGAACTTCAGAAGTGCTTCTCCTTTTTTTTAAAAAAATTCTCTCCCTTACATAGAATAGGAAGGCTAGTGCGGGCTGGAGTGGGGTATTCCTTCCCCCACAACAGTTAGGAGGTGATGAAGCCCTGGCAGTTTAGACTCTGATCAACTAGCTTCTCCCTATGACTGGCCTTGAAAAGAACAAGTGCTCTGGCATATTTCAAAATGGTCCCTTTCCCCCTCTCCCTACAGGGAGCACAAGGGGATTTTTCCCCCATTTACTATGGAAACTTTGAAAAACTCTTGAAGGTCAATATCACAATACTTTAGGAACCCCCATCAGAGGTCCCCTTGGGGTTGTAGCTCTCAGACTTGTTCACTCTGAGCCCCTAGCGCTCCATCAGTTACAGCTCCGGTTTCCTGCCCCACCAGCTGTTTTCTTCAGTTTCTTCAGTTGCTGCTGAGCCTGGACTCCCAGACTGGGAATTTGGCGTGATCATCTCCTTTTCCAGAGCAGAAGACAGTCTTCCAATGGCACTGACATCATTTACCTTCCCCGGAGTTCACATTAAGAAAAAAAAAATTAGTCCTGAGGGAATGGATTAGTCAAAGGGGGACATGCCGCTTAGAGTATTTAAAGCACCAAAGTGTAGTGCTGATCAAGCACCTAGCTGGGAAGAGCCAAGAATCGTGAACACAAAAATATGCTGCCTTGGCTCTGGAGTTGCAAATGCCCTGCTCAGGACACCTATGCTTCCCTGAAGGACTATCTGCATCAAATCCACTGTGTTTTTATTATTCTCTTATGCCTCGATTCAGTGGCTTTCTTTACCTAAAAGAAATTCCGTGCTTGGCAGACTAGAGATCCAGCCAACCTGTCTACACCTGAAAGAAGTCTTCAAAGGTGAAAAAATGGGTAATAAATTAATACCAAATATATTTGAAGAATTCAGGAAGTAGAAAGAGAAGTCAAGAGATAGGATAACCATAGCTGGTTGGAAATCACTGTTTTGGGATAAGTCAGAGGTACAGATTGCCATGTCCCTGAAAGGGCCAAGCAATCGTCCTCAGAGGCTTCTCAGAGGAGCTCTGGGATGGTATTATTAACTCATGTCCAGGCATAGATAGAACATACGATGGGGATCCATGTACTAAAATCTCTGGTTTCTGAAAACACTGCTATCTGATGTTAACTAAAAACCATAATGTTAAAAATGACAACACTGATGATTTGAGTATCCCCTCTACCTCACTCTCAAGTAAATCATGTACACTTAGCAATATTATTGGGTTGGCCAAAAAGATCATTTAGGTTTTTCCATAAGCTATTAACATACAAGCCAAAAAGAGAATTAAGCAAAATGATTCTGAAGAAAAGCCCTGAGGAATAACATCTTTATAAGTGATA